TTTTTGAGTTGCAAAATCCACTTGAACATGACGCTGCTTTTTTCGAAGTTTCTCAAGAACCATTCGAGCCACAGAATTCGTTTTGGCATCGTTGGTTAGAAAATTGAAAAGTCGATTCAGTCGTAACAACGTGAGTGAGAAAATTCGAGTAGTTTTGACCCAGAAAGCGAAATTTGAATATCAATCAGACACTTCGGTGCAAGATTATGCCAAAATTCCATGTTTTCCGTCCGTTTTTGCTCATATCTCGGAGGCAAAATGAGCAAGAACGCTCACTTGTACATTATTCTAGAGAGGAATAAATGGGCTTTTTAGAAAGTGAACCATGGATGTGGAAATGTTGGCAGTTTTCTCAAAAAATGCTTGAATTCAAGAAGTTTTAGATTTGCGTGGTTTTTTTTTGAGTTGCAAAATCCACTTGAACATGACGCTGCTTTTTTCGAAGTTTCTCAAGAACCATTCGAGCCACAGAATTCGTTTTGGCATCGTTGGATAGATAATTGAATGGGATCCCCCCCTGGATCCGCCCTTGAGCTGCGGGTTTAAATGAGCAATTTGTCCCATTCCTTGACGATTTATTTTGCGTGTGTCTCAAAGCCAACGCTTCTTCTTTTTGGGGATGATTTGCTTCATGTTTCATCTGGAAGTATTAGGTTTGTCTGGATTAGAGCATTTGCTTCAAAGGCCACAAAATGATTTGATTCAGAGACCAACTCCTGCTGAATTTTTAAGACAAAATAAAGAAACAAGTTATGAAAAAATGAATAATCGGCTTGAAGCCACTTAATAGCTGATTTAATTCGATAAAATTCTGTCTAGAGCGGTCCCAGCTGCACATACTCCATGTCATCAAACGTTAAGAAAATTAAGCCATCGATTCGCGATCCTCGATTTGTAGGATTGATGTGATAACCGATAACTTCGACAGGACTACTTTAAGTTAATGAATTTTCGTGCTACCGGCGTGCATCTGTTATCGGATTGTTTCTCACGAAAGAGCAACGATGTTTCTCCACATCAGCAGCTGCAAACGGCAGATTTATGTCTTTCACTTTTTTTTTCACTTTCGTTGGATCTAATTTGGGCACATCCACGTATGATTGAGTGAAAACGTTTTTCCATTTATTCTACATGCAGCCTAAAATGTTGCACTAATTTTCGCGAGTATTGAGGATCCCGGCAAAACCCGCAAATAAACGATATGAACATTTTTATTTCAGATTTCGACTGAAATCCAGGAAAGACAAATATAATAACACTTTTCATATTTACTTATACAATGTTTTGAGGAATTCCTCTCATTCCTCCTCGTAAGCCAACAATTCGCCATCAAATACTTCCCGGCCGAGTCGCCATATAGGCCTGTTGACAGCGCTCGCCTATGTTTGCACGTGGAGAATAAGGCCTACTATACGGGAAATCGTCGGTTATATGCCAATAAATGATCTTAAAAATTTAATGTATAATATTATGTGAAATAAACGGTATGAACATTTTGATTTGTTAGCTTGATAGTTCAGTTCATAACAGTTCCGCGAGACAACAGCGCTATCATCAGATTTAAAATGCATACAAACTCAGAAATGGGAAACATTAGAGTCTTTTAGGTCTAGACAGCCAAGACCTAAAAGAATCTAGTGTTTGAGTAAATTTTTAATCTGATGATGTCTCGCCGAAACGTAATGAAATGAACTTTTGACTGAAACCCAGGAAAGATAAGAATATGATAACAATAAAAAAAAAGTTTTTCTAAAAAATTCAATGAGTCTAGTTTTAATTCTATAAGGAGATTTGCTCTGGGCAGCGGTAAAAAAACAATCTCTTCAGCTACCAAGTGACGACTTTATTTCTATAGACATTTTTTTTCTGTAAAACATATTGTTATTGAGTGGCTTTTTCGCTTTCCATCACACATTTCCCGTCCTTTCGGCAGTAGCCCTCCTGGCAGTAGCAGTTGTAGAGCAGAATATGGCCGCATATCATATCGGGATTGCAAAGATCGCCACATCTGCCCATGCCGCGACAAATAGTGCCAGATTGGTGGCACATTATACGCGAACATGGATCTCTTAGCGCATTCAAAATATCCAGTCTAAACGAGCCCTCTGTAAAATAACGCGGATTTTCCCAGCAGCCGGAAAACCAACATGCATTATTCTCTAGGTGAGTTGAAAATTAACAAACCTACCACACTGAAAAATCGCCAGGAAAACAACCAGGGCCAGCTTCATAAACATTTTCCTTTGGGAAACTGAACAGCACTCTGCTGTTTTTCCAGTCAACTGCTAAACGAACGCGAAGCGCAATTCTATTATAACAAATGGAATTGGGTATTGTTTGTTTCATTGTTACATGCGATCTCGGGTTAATTGCATTTTTATTTGCAATAAACCTGCCGATGATTGAACGTATCGAACTGCTGCTTTTAAATCTATACTGTGCCAAGCTAAAAGTGACCGTACGAAGTGCAAGGGAGAGGGTTAGACAAAAACGGCGCTACTGTGGGCCTCCTGGATGGTTT